ATTATTCTGATCACTTCCTGTCAGACCTCAGATTATTCTGATCACTTCCTGTCAGACCTCAGATTATTCTGATCACTTCCTGTCAGACCTCAGATTATTCTGATCACTTCCTGTCAGACCCCAGATTATTCTGATCACTTCTTGTTAGACCCAGATTATTCTGATCACTTCCTGTCAGACCTCAGATTATTCTGATCACTTCCTGTCAGACCTCAGATTATTCTGATCACTTCCTGTCAGACCTCAGATTATTCTGATCACTTCTTGTTAGACCCCAGATTATTCTGATCACTTCTTGTCAGAGCTCAGATTCTTCTGATCACTTCCTGTCAGACCCCAGATTATTTTGATCACTTCCTGTGAGGCCTCAGATTATCCCGGATTATCAAACCAGTGCTTCAGCCTGGCATCAGATTTTATGTTCTAGAAACAAAATGATGTCTGGAAACACAAACATGACAAACTACCGGTCCGGACCGGAGAGCCGAACAGAACCGGACCGTTTGATAACCTGTAGTTTTATAAACTTCAGGTGAAAGCAGGTGTTCTGTTATTGTTTTGTCTGTCGTGTATTTTTGGCTCCGTGTTGAACCAGAACCAGAACCGGGTCAATTTAACCCGCTGCAGGAGAGCCTCTGAGCGGCTTTCGCTCTCAGCTTCCGCCTTTGGTTCATTTTATTTCCAGCTGATTGTCAGAATGAAGCAGATGGTTGATCGGTTCTGACCCAGATCACCAGAACAAACAAACTCTTCCTTCCTAAACTTAGCCGCTAGCTCCGTTAGCTTCCAGCGCTCCAGAAACTCGACATAACTCAAAACTCACCTTTAAGTCGTTCTCTGGTAAATATTTGCAGTGTTTCGCTATTTCTACGTATCTGTCGAGGTCTAAAGGAGCCATAATAAAAATGAAGTTTTACAATCTGAAAATAAAAACGGCTAAAGGCGATTAGCCTTCCTGCTAACTAGTTCCTCTTCTCCTTCCGCGGATTCTTCTTCTTCTGTTGCGGAGCGCAGCTAGTAGGACCACAGCATGACCGCCACCTAGTGGTTTAGAGAAGGTAATACCTGCACATCAGGTGTTCATACTACACTAGACTCAGGATCTGAAACAACAGAACCTCCAGATCCCACTGGGGACAAGGATGGAAGAAAATGAATGGACAGTTTCAGGAGAACAGCAGGATACCAACAGTGAGTCTTAGCCAAAGGACATCCACTTCTTTGCCTTCATGAGACTCTTCCAGTCTCAACCTGACCTCTGACCTCTGTGCTCAGAGACCACTTCCTGTTTGAAGCCTCATCATGATGTGGTTCTGTTGGTCAGCTGTTAGCAGGATGAGGAGGGGGACTGTTAAACTGTTAGAGCGACCTTATAACCATTTAATGAAGTCACAATAATCAAGTTTATAAAATCAGTATTGGACAGAAAAACACTCTAAAATCTGAAAAATGAAAGTCGTGTAAAATCAGAATAGAAATCATGGAAAAATTGGGATTGAAATGATAGCATGAATTTATTTGTAATCAGAAAAAATGTTATAAAGCAGAGTGTTTCAGGGCTAGTGGTTTCATGGTCGCCTTCCAGTCAGTGCTGCCCCCTGGTGGCTGCTCCAGATGTTGCAGCTCCTGAATCTCATGTCTGTCTGGTCTGGATGGGAATTAAACACACAATTAAACTAGGCCGCCTTCCTTCTCTCCTGCTCTTTTCTCCATCTGCATCACTCACCTGTAATTAGCTCTTCTGGTCCTGCCACCATCTTGTTTATAGAGAGGAGAGGCTTCCTCCTGAGTCTTGATGGAAACCAGGTTCACATCAGAACAAAATGCAGATTAAACCTGTTATTAACAGCAGAATAAATTCATGAATGAATTGAGTTCATGGGAGCTGATCGGAGCTCTGTTGGAGCTTCCTGGCGCCGTGGCTGGCTGTGGGGACTGAAGGGTTAACGGTGTGTGAGCAGGAGGAGCTGCTGCTGGAGCGTTGCCTGCCTCTCCGTTGCTCCTGCAGCTCCAGATTCGGCTCCGGCTCCTGAGGGACGGCATGATGCGGGTCGTCCTGTTCTGCTGCTGCCTTTCCTCTCTGCACCTCCTGCTCTGCGCCGCGCCGCTGACCCAGGGTGGCACCATCAGCCTGCAGGTGAGACCACACAACGCCGCCACTCTGAGGAGAACCTGAGGAGCAACAGGAGCAACATTCCTCCAGAACCAGCAGGCAATAAATCAGACCAGAACAAAGATACAGGGACAGAGTCAGAAACGAACAACAGGTGTGTAACGGGTCAGACAGAAAGTCAGGCTGAACGAGACGAGAGATGGAAACGGTCAGAGTTACCTCAGAGTCTGGAAACACAAAACAGCAACAGGTTGCTCTGAAAGAGGCAGAAATGTTTCAAATGATCTTAGAATCTCAGAGATCCTGAAGAAATAAAATCCTGCAGATCCAGTGATCCAGAAACCTGCTGGGGTATCACAGGGTAACTACCGGGTATGGCCTACAGATACCCTTCTACTTATAGGGCAAGTACTGGGGTACTGAGAGGGTACAGTTTGCCCACATGGTGCAGATACCTGGAGGGTATCTGTGTAACTTTTAATATCCCTGACGACCCCATATTTGGGGGTAATAGCTTTCCAAGACCTCCAGGGACCTGAACGGGGCTGAAATGCTGCTTATGAGGTAAACTGTGAGCTATTAAAATGCTAACCTTGGGGCACTAATGGGTAACTGGGCATTTATGAGTCGATTCTTCCAGATCTCATCCAGTTTATGACAGTCAGTTTTTCTCTTCATGTGTTATGAAGTCTGTGGTTACGGTTTTACAGAATGGATTATGAACAGAAAGGAGATGACATCATGAAACATTGCAAAGTATCACCAGTGGGATGATTAAGCAACAAATAGCAGATCATAACTATCACCCTCTGAGAGCTAAAGAATGTTAATGAGAGAAGCTGCAGCTCGTCTAATCTGTCTTCAACTCAGGCTAACGGCTGCAACATGTCAGCCTGCCAGCAGGTTCTGGATCGGTTCCGGATCGGTTCCGGATCGGTCCGCAACATTTCAAATGCGTTCAGTGATTTTAAACTGTTCAAAAGAAACGATTGGACTTGGTTCCCATGTAGCCAGAGAGCAGATGGCTAAACAATGGAGACCCAATGTGAGTAAACTGAATGTTTTACCATCAATACTGCACCACAGTGCCCTCTGGTGGCAACAAAGCAAACATTCAGAACCGGAAATGTGTCACAGCTTTCCATGGAGACGGAGACCGACCCGTTACTATGGAGACCGACCCGTTACTATGGAGACCGACCCGTTACTAGGGAGACCGACCCGTTACTATGGAGACCGACCCGTTACTATGGAGACCGACCCGTTACTATGGAGACCGACCCGTTACTATGGAGACCGACCCGTTACTATGGAGACCGACCCGTTACTATGGAGTGTTTTTGTTAAAAGTAACGAATATTTAACTTTATTTATTTCTTCACTCTTGCATTAATAGAAGAGCTGGGAACTGCAGCGGATGAGCATTAGCTTTAGCATTAGCTTTAGCATTAGCTTTAGCATTAGCCCACAGCACAGCAGCTCGCAGTAAAAAATATGAAGTATTTCTTCATTTCCTACGATCTTCAACGAAGATAAAATCAAATCAAATCAGAATGTTTTCCATAAAATCCCTTTGAACGCTGAAGTTATGAATCTCCCAGATATTCACCTACCAGCTTCTGAGGCTCCAGGATGGAAAACCAGAAAAGGTTTAAAATAAAACATCAGTTATAACCAGTTATAACTGAAATAAATCTCTTTATGAGGAATTTTATTTAGTGAAGTCACTCATTAAAACTTGTTTTATTTCAGTGACTCTGAACCAAATCTGAACATTTTAACTGAGTTTGACTCTCCGGGTCTCATCACTTTATTTGTTTCGGTCCTGCAGCTCCAACTCATGAAAAACGTTTTGAGCCCGTTCTGAGGCGGGTCTCCTCCGCTGGGCTCAGGGTGGATGCCAGGGTCAGACTGGAGGGTCGCCGGCGTCAGGCGGGGCAGGCGGGGCAGGCGGAGGCCCGTCATGGTGCAGCTGGTGGGGTAAACTCTGCTGGGTGCTGAGTCAGCACAGCAGAGGAAAACAGACACTTACTCAGAGACAAACATGCAGCCGGTTCTGCAGCGTGTCTTCAGTCCTGACCTGATCCGGTGCTGACGGGTCAAACCTCCATGACTCTCTGCAGGAACGTCTGGAGGTCAGGTCAGATTCACGGACGTTTAGCAGCCAGACGTTGGAAGTATTTACTGAATTATTGTCAAGAATTTAATCTCTATTTTCAGCTTCTAGTTTTTGTTTCATCCAGAAATTAGTGTTTTTATTTGAAGGCATCAGATTAGGAAAATTCCCCTGCTGCAGAGTTGAGCTGCGTCTCAATAAAACATCGTTTGGATTCTGGTGATTCTCTGGATCATCAGCTCAATAAATCCCTCCTGACAAAACAGCAGATGGCAGGATGAGAAATGATGACCAATGACCTCATTTCTCCTCATTTAGATGAAGATGAAGGGCTGAGTGGGACGGAGAGAATGAGAGGACGGATGGAGGTCACAGGGGTCAGCTGGGATGCTAACACTTAGCATCCTAGCTTACTGATTCACTGGGCACAAGGCATAATGTGGTAAAAGTAGCATAAATTAGCATGAGGTCAATTCAGCTAATATAAGATAAAATGTATAAATTATTATAAACTTAGGTTCACCTACAATAAGATATGCTAACACAAGGTTAGATACGCTAGGCTAATTTTAGCTAAAACAAGATAAGCTAAGATTATTTAATTTGATAAAGTAAGCTAAGCTAAGCTATGCTAAGGTACGGAGAGATAAAATGAGTCTGAGGAAAAATGTTTCTCCTCTTTAGCAGCTTATTGAGCTCAGAGGCTTCAGGACTTGAATCTGTTTCAGTCAATCCTGAGGAAAACTCTTGGTGCTGCTGATACCTGGGACTTTCTGTGGTTAAATATTTACTCAGTCCACATTCTTTCTGCTCTGCATCATTTACCTGCAGCTGGTTGCTGATGGAGTCACGTTTTGTGTAATCAGACCTTTAACAGTTTTAAAAACACGTCCTCAGTTGAGGCACCGGCCGTGTTTGGTGCTGATGAGCTCATGCTGCAGCTCAAACGGGGATTTCCACACATCTGCAGCGCTGCAGAGGCCGAGCCGCAGGTTTCCACTCATGCATGTTCCGACCTGCATGGCTCCACGAGTCGCTCAAAGCCTCGGCCGTGTAAACACCTGCTGGATTAAACTACAACGGCCCATTTGTTTACAGCTAGTTTCTGTCTAAGCTGCTGAGTTTGGCGAGGAGCCGCAGCGCCGCCGCCGCACCGCTGCAGCACCGCTGCCAGCGGCTTCGCTTTGGTCCAGAAACACCAACCAGAACTTTCCAGATAAAATCTGAACAGGTGAACGAGCAACACAGCTAGTCTGCTGGATTAACTCAAATTATTGATTTTTAAAGGCTGATTTGGTCCAACGTCCCTCAGCAATCTGACCTTTGACCCCATCAACCAGATTCTGGATCCATGCTGCGTTATATTTAGTCTACTTAGCAAAAAGTGGTTGATTTCCAGGTGAATGTTGGATTTATTCCTGTGTTGTGTTTGGATCTTCTTCCTCTTGGAAAAACAAAACCTGTGAAAGTTTCTGACCTTTAGGCGTCCACAGAGAAGCCTGAGTAAAACCAACATGGACGGACAGCATGAAATAATAACTAAATGTCTCTGAATGGACGAAGTGATGAGACAAAGACTGAATGTTTGACCTCCAGGATGAAAATATGTTTGGACTGGAAGAGTCAAAGTGAGACTTTCAACCCAACACTGATGTGTTATTACCATTATTATTAACTCTATTACTGCTGTTGGCAAAGCATTGATGCTGTTATTGATGAAATCTCAGAGTTCCTGCAGCGGGAAGGTCGGCCCACAGCACTACTAGACAGACAGACTGAAACTGAAGCCTCAATCAAACCGTTTAATAAATAATGTTGAGAAACTGAACCTTCTGTTGTTCCCACATCAACATCTGTTGTTCCCACATCAACATCTGCTGTTCCCACATCAACATCTGCTGTTCCCACATCAACATGTTCAGTGTTTCTGGGGCAGATCTGATGAGTGAACGAACATTTGGATCCAGTTTTTAACAATCTGTCCTGGTTTTGGAGTCTCTGCTCTAAATATTTAGGTTTTTATGAGCCATGAAAGTGACTTAATTTAAAAGCTTTGTGAATATTTCAGGTCAGAATCTCCAGATCGAGACATTATTACACTCTATGCTGACGACTCTGTGGAATTACCTCAACACATCCTACAACTGATTGTGTGAAAACCGTAAAAGCAATCAGAGTGAAGTGGAATCAGGTAAAGTCCAGTTTTCTGTGGGCATTTTGAACGTTGAACGGCGGTTCTGATGGAACGTGTGTGTGAGCTGCAGACCGGAGCCGGGATCCATCCTGCGGCGTCCTGCTGGTGACCTGCTCCAGCTGCAAGTCCCTTCATATTCCTTTACAGGCAGGAGCTTTTAAAGCTTTGCTGTGGTTGGAAAAGGTTTTGTTTTCATTCAAAAGGTGAATTACATTTATTTATCAAGAACAGAATGTAATTCCAGATTTTCCAGGGTGGAGATGAAACGGTGGCCGAGGTTTAAACTGGATTTCTGGTTAAATTAAACTGGTTTTCTTCACAGAACAAAGGGAACAGCTGTTTGGTTCTCAGCTGTTGGAACTTGCTCCGGTCCATAGATCATAACTTCACCACGACAGAAGGAATGAATGTGTAGATAATGAAGTCTGTACAAACATGTTTTATAGAAAGAATGGAGGGCGGGGCGATCCGATGATGACAAACACACAGAGGTACCGGGAACAAGGCCTTCAATTAAAAAATAGCTGCATTTCCCATGTTCCTTAAACACATCGTCTGATGGACTCAGATTTCACTCGAGCAACCAGCAAGAAATGTCACCATCAGAAACCAAACATGTGACCTACTGAGTTACTGAAGGCACCTGGCCTGGCCTGACTTTAACTAGACCTCCCAGTAGGAAGTCGCCTCCCAGGAAGGTTTTCTGAAATGAACCCTGGGAGACGCCGAGGTTAATCCTTCTATAAGGAGGACAATGAAGTTTCAGTGGTTGAAGGATCAAACTGATGGGAGCTACGCTAGTAGCTCTGGCCTGTTAGCTGGACTCTGCTCCAGGTAGCTTAGGGTTCAGTGCTGACCTGGTCATAATGTCAGGAGGAGTGCATGACCTTTATCTGGCTGAACTGTGGCTGCTGTCTCCAATCGCTCGCCCAGCTGACTCAGCAGTTCTCTAACCAGGGACAGCTGCTGACTTCAGCCTGCTCAGCAGAACCAGAACCAGGACCAGCTGATGTCAGTGACTGTTCAGGAGGATCACAATCACAGCAGCTCATTACCGCCTCAGACTTAGCATCCCATTATTACTGCGTTTGATGTGCTGCTCTCAGCCGCGCTGACGTCACGCTGCAGCTGCTTTTGGCCACATGTAATTATCATGCGGCGAACCGGAGCAGTTAGCGCTGTGCTAACTGATCAGAGCATCACAGGGAAACGAAGCCTGGCCACGTTGAGGCGCCATGATGGAACCGGCTTTTATTCCCCAGTTCTTCTTGCCGTCATAGCAAAAGGCTTCTACTTGTTCAAGTCGAGCTAACTTGTCTGCTAGCTTGTAGCTAGCTTAGAAACCAACCCAAACCTTTTCCCTCCTTTGTTGTTTTCATCAAATTGACGACTTTCCTGATGCCACCATCAGTGTTTCCTGTTCCACTGCAGTCCACATGCTAACCAGTTTTCTGTGTACATGCTAGGCTACATGATGTTGGATACTGATGCAGAATTTGATTGTTCTTACCTACTTATGGATTGGTGACGCTTAATCTTCTTACCTTGTTAAAAATGTTTTCTGTAAATCTGTGACTAACCCGATGGTCAGCCACTGGTCAGCCACCGGTCAGCCACTGGTCAGCCACTGGTCAGCCACTGGTCAGCCACTGGTCAGCCACCGGTCAGCCACCGGTCAGCCTGGTCAGCCACCGGTCAGCCACCGGTCAGCCACCGGTCAGCCACCGGTCAGCCACTGGTCAGCCACTGGTCAGCCACCGGTCAGCCACCGTCCATCGCCGTCTTTCCTCATCCACTGTTTACCAGACAGTCAGCAGCCCACCTTCAGTACTCTCCATTTTTACGCTGAAATCAACTGAATAAAATCGACATCAGGCTGTTTGGGAGTTTCTTCGGTTCGTCTTGGCAGAGCGGGACGTCACATGATATTTCAATAATTGGCTGTGCGCATGACTTATAATACGCGAATGTTAGCAGGTAGCACAACCTTAATAAAGTCTTGAATAGATCAGAAACTGTCCTCTGTGTGCAGGGATCGCCTCACAGCAGCAGCCATGTTGTCCTAAAGCGGAGGGGTCCACACAAACAGGACACTCTGACCCAAGTGGACCAGTCAAAGTCCGTTTTGCCGTCCAGAAATGAGACAGGGTTCTGGAGCCGTCCTCGCTGTGGCGTCCCCGACTACCCCAGAGTAACTCCACTCAACGGGTCAAAGGTCCTGAAGAGCAGCAGAAAGGAGCGCAACAAAAGATTTGCTCTGTTTGGAGGACGCTGGGACAAAACCCACCTCACCTACCGGTAAGAAACACACCCCTCAGCCGACGCCTCCAGACTCTGAAGGTCATCTGAAGGGCTGTGACCGTGTGGGACACCAAGCCGTCCGTCCTTTTCTGCTCCGGTATTTGTTTGGTTATCATCCTTGAAAACATGTCTGTCGTGCAGGATTGTTCGTTTTCCCTGGCAGATGAGTGAAGACAAAGTTCGGCGCATCCTGGAGGAGGCCTTTGGGGTCTGGGGTGCGGTCACTCCTCTGACGTTCAGAGAGGTCATCAACGAGAGAGCGGACATCATCATTGACTTCAACAGGTAAAAACCCCAGAGCAGACGTTCTGGGGCAATTATTAGTGACTGCAGATTAATAAAACCATGAAGTGAATCAGACCTAAACAATATTTAAAGTCATTTCCGGCTTTGTGGTTTGAGGGAATATAAAGAATGTTGAGAGTTATAAAACCAATCCTCCAACTGGATGTTTAGAGTCTGACGCGTCGCTTGGCGTCTTCGTCTTTGCTGCAGCAGAACTTCATTTCTCTGCCAGACCATCTTTGCACCGACCTGCAGAGTTCAGAGAGGTTGCAGACAGCTCGCTGCCAGTTGATGCAACTTCCCAGATTTAGTCACTGAACCTTTGAAGGTTTACTGGCTCTGAGGCGATTCTGGCGTTTGGGTTTGAGTCCCGGTCGGCGAACAGAAGCCGTTATGATCCATGATCCTGAGTTTAGCGATTGGGTAAAATCAGAACCACAACCAAAAATCCCTTTTCTGAACTCATCTGAGGCTGACCTTACAGGCCGAGTGGCAGGAAGGGATTTTTGTAGTTTGTTGCTGCATGGCATTTCTACAGCCAATGGTTTTCTGAGTCACTACAGAAACAGAAATGGCTTGAACTGATTGGTCTGAAGATGAGATCAGTTGTTGTTTCGTAGGTACTGGCATGGTGATGACCTCCCGTTCGACGGTCCTGGAGGAATCCTGGCCCACGCTTTTTTCCCTCGCACGCTGAAAGAGGGAGAGGTCCACTTTGACTACGACGAACATTGGACGGTCGGCAACGGCGTCGGTGAGATGTCTGGGACTGTTCATGTTTGTGTGAGAAGCCGCTCTGATCCCTGGACTGTCTTCGTCTTTGTGAAGGTACCGACCTCCTGCAGGTGGCGGCCCATGAGTTCGGCCATGTTCTGGGCCTGCAGCACTCTCTGGAGCCCGACGCGGTCATGTGTCCCTTCTACAGCGACTCCTACCCTCTGAAGCTCAGCGAGGACGATAAGAGGGGCATCCAGTATCTATACGGACCGCCGCAGTACACAACGCCTGACATGACAGAGACCAACGAGATCCAACCTGAACTGGTGAGAACCTGATCCTGTTTGGACCTTCAGAACTGCAGTCCTGATCCAGTCATCCAGACTTTAACTCCAAAAAACAGGATGAAAAGATCATAGAAAACCTTCAAAGAAGAACTTTTGATCAAAACAGGAAACTGTTCTGGACTGGATCAAGACTTTCTGACCCTCCTGCTCTGCTGAACGTCTTTAGGCCAAAGAGTAACTGGTGTCTGTTTTCCGCAGCCGGACGCCTGCAGGACAAGCTTTGATGCCGTGTCCATGATCAGGGGAGAGCTCTTCTTCTTCAGGTCTCGATATGTTTGGCGAATCCGTGACAGGCGTCTGCAAGGCGGCTACCCGGCCTTGTCCTCGCGCCACTGGAGCGGCATTCCTGACTACATCGACGCAGCATATGAAGACAAGTCTGGGAACATCTGGTTCTTCCAAGGTACAGAAGAAAAGCCAACGCTTCTGGTCACATCTGCACGAAGCTACTAGCAGAGTCTTCTCTCCTTCTGCACAAAGTTTCATCCAGAAGAAGTTCTTGAGGTCAATTAACTGCTGGTCCAGTTGGATCCAGACCTGAAGGCTTTGTGTTTCTGCTGCAGGCGACACCTACTGGGTGTTTGACGCTGGGCGCAGGATTTCTGGCCCAGACTCCCTGCAGCGGCTCGGCCTTCCTGTCACCGACATCCAGGCGGCTCTGCGGTGGGAGGACGGCGGCTCGGAGAAGGTCTACCTCTTCAAGTCTTCGTTTTACTGGTCCTTCAACGTCCAGGAGAACCGCGTCAGTGACCTCCATCCGCGCAGCGCGCACGAGTGGGCGGGACTTCCTGGACACGTCGACGCCGCCTTTCTGGACAGCTACGGTGAGACTCTGGGCCCGGTTCTGGTGAGACTTTGGTTCTAAGGGTTTCATCCATCGGACCTCCTTCTCCCTCAGGTTACGCCAACTTCCTGAGCGGGCTGTACTACTGGAAGTTGGACCCGGTGGCACTAAAGGTGCTGGACGGATACCCGCGCAGAATCGGGACGGATTTCTTCGGCTGCTCCGAATCTGCATAAATACGTAAACTAATTCGTAAACAGAATAATCTGCTGAGTCACCGTTGTTTCGTCAGAATGTAAACTCCTCACCTCTGGTCCCTCCCAGCTGCAGCCGGGCCCGGTTCTGATCCGGTCCAGTTGGACCTTCAGGAGGCACATCCACTGAGTGTTGATCAAACGGTCGCTAAGTTTGATTGTTAAAGGTGCTATTTCAGGTCAGAGCCGCTAGAGCTACAGACCTAGAGCAGTTCTCACTTATTGTTGCTTCAGTCCTAAAGAAGAGTCAGTTTTATTTTTCTATGTCTTCGTTTTTCTATTTAAAGTGTCTGATCAGTGCAGGACGCTGATGACTCTTCCCACCAGTAAAACATACTGGTGCTAAACCAGTTCTGGTGACTTTATGTGCTGTGGGAAAGTTTGAAATCATTAGCAGGTTCTGGATACATAGATCTCTAGATCTCTAGATCTATAGATCTCTAGATATATTTTGTCTGTTTCACTTTCTGAAACAGACAAAATAATCCATTTAAAGCTGAAAATCTCAAACAATCTCATCAAATGAATCATTTCACACATCAAGATCAATCAGTTCTGATCAGAACCCGATCAGAATCTGATCGGGTTCTGATCGGGTTCTTTGGTGTTTCTACATGTTCTCTTTATATTTGTGACTTTTTGTGTTTTTTAAATAAAGATGAAAAAGTTTCTCCTTTCTTGCGTCTCAGTGATGATGATGCAGTGACCCGAAATCTGCAGGTTCGGTTCTGGTGTCGGCCCGCTCCAGGTCGGTCAGAACCTGTAGGTCCCATCAGTAGATGATGGTTCCGATGTGTTTGGTACCAGATGGTGAAACAGAGATTAACTCAAACGCTTCGATTCAAAGCTTCATCACCGCGGATCCGTCCAGGAGCTCAGGGTTCTGATTGGTTCTGATCGGTCGGACCGGGTTCTGATTGGTTCTGATTGATTCGGGCCGGGTTCTGATCGGATTCTGATTGGTTCTGATTGATTCGGGCCGGGTTCTGATTGGTTCTGATTGATTCGGGCCGGGTTCTGATTGGTTCTGATGGGCCCGGTGCCTCAGCTGCAGGAAGCCGTCCGGATCCGACCCGGTCTGTAGGTCGGCACCATGAGATCCGGTCCATCTGCGACCGAATCAGAACCTCTTCAGATCCAAACGGGGAGATATTTCTGATGTTATGATTTAATAAAACCAATAAAAAAAAAAACATGAATTATTGCATAAAATCAGATTCTGACTGTGAATTTAAGAAAATCATAATAAACATAACAAGGTTTTATTATCGATTCCATGGAGCTGTTAGAAAATATACAGTAGAAAATGAGTTTATTTATTTATTCCATTTTGTGTTGTTGATATTGATTAAAAATTGATTTTCTATTTTCTATCAGTTTATCTTGATTTCAGCGGTTGGAATATTTTGGTGCAAACAGTTAAAATGACAGAAATGAATAATAATCCTGAGCAGAAGATATAAAGCAGCTGCAGCTGCAACACATTGAAATGTTTTACTGTCGTTATCTCTGCTGTGAATCTGCAGCCCTTTAAACCTCTGGAGCCGCTTTCTTCTTCCAACAATCTGCTCTGGAATTATGATAAAACACAGAAACATTAGCAGATTGTTCTGTTCGCTGGTTTTGTTGCCAAAGAATAAAAATAAAAAAACAATTTATGAGATCCAGTTAGTTTCCTACACATGTGGCCAGAAGCTGATGATCCATGAAAAACAGCCCGTTATTCTGCTGCAGCTCAGAGCGACGCCTGCTGGCCGGTAAAGAGAACTGCAGCTGCTCCAGGTCTGAGGCAAAGACATGAGGAACATGGAGGAGTACGGAGGCCCGACAGGGACAAAACTGATTGAATATAGCAAGGAATCCAGCCGTCATCCATCCATCTGGAGTCGGGTGGATGATGGATCATTTCATTGTACTTTATTGATTAATGCCTCTCTCTGCCTTTAGGATCAATAACATATTTTATCTTGTGAATTAAACTGATCAGTCCTGAACTTCAGCAGATCTGTTGATCGATTCAGATCAACAGATCAGTTTAAGATGCTGCAGAACAATCAGAATATCCTGGATCAGCAGCTAAATCATTTCTGTCTTTCTTCCTCCTGGCCGCCAGGCGGCGGCACGCAGCGCGAGGCCGCGTCACTGTGTGATGACACGTCACCACGTCATGAAAACAGGGCGCGTGTGCGGTGGCGGCAGGTTTAAAGAGTCTAAGTTTGGAGCGCAGAAAGACATTTGTGGTGAAATCCGGGATTTAACGGCGGATTATCGGGATGAGCGGGAACAGCGGGATGTCTGAGGACAGGTAGGTTTGGTTTCACCTTCCTGACGTTTTATTGTGGAGGAACCGCGAGCCGCTCAGATGAATAATCTGTGGGATGAAGTGAGGCGGTAATCTGAGCTCATTGTTCCTCCCAGTCCGCCTGATCCAGTTAAACCAGTAAATTAAACCAGTAAATTAAACCAGTAAGAACCGGCGGGGCGGACTGGAGGCCTCCTGCCGACATGGCGCGCTTTCCTCCGGGTTTCCTGCGGGTTTCCTCCGGGTTTCCTCCGGGTTTGCTCCGGTACCAACATGGCGGCGCCTCGGCGGTCTGGACCATCCCGGTGTGTTCTGACTGTGACCTCTGACCTGTGCCTGCAGCCTTCCCCTGCAGGAGCTCTGCTGCCAGACGCGGTTCGGCATCAAGCGGAAGAGCCTCGGTTCCGAGTCCACTCCGACCGACCTGGTGCTGCTGCGCTCCCCGCGGCCCAAGCAGCCCTGGCCGGCCTGCCTGGGCAAGGAGAACCGGGAGGACCGGGAGGACCGGTTCGTCCTGGCCCGGAGGTCCCGGAGGAGGCTGCGGTCCGGCTCAGGTGGGATCCGGCCCGGTTGTGGTTCGGGAAGGTGGGTCCAGTTGTAACTCCAGCTGTTTCCCTGCAGGTGTTTCCTGGGATCACCTGCCGGACGAGCTGCTGCTGCGGATCTGCGGCGGCCTCCCGCTGCGGGACCTGCTGCGGGTTTCTGCGGTCTGCCGCCGGTGGCGCCGCCTGGCGTGAGTCCCGAACCGGTTCTGATGGGTCACAACATCGTCACTGCTCAGTTTCCACTCATTGTTATGATCAGTTCAGTTTGTGCTGGTTGGATCAATCAGTTAACTAGTAAAATCTGCTGAGCAGAGAATCTCCAATCAATCACTTTTCCAGTTGATCAGTAATCAATCATTAGAGAGATTGATCAGTAATCAATCAGTAGAGAGATTGATCAGTAATCAATCAGTAGAGAGATTGATCAGTAATCAATCAGTAGAGAGATTGATCAGTAATCAATCAGCAGAGAGATTGATCAGTAATCAATCAGCAGAGAGATTGATCAGTAATCAATCAGCAGAGATTGATCAGTAATCAATCAGCAGAGAGATTGATCAGTAATCAATCAGCAGAGAGATTGATCAGTAATCAATCAGCAGAGAGATTGATCAGTAATCAATCAGCAGAGATTGATCAGTAATCAATCATTAGAGAGATTGATCAGTAATCAATCAGCAGAGAGATTGATCAGTAATCAATCAGCAGAGAGATTGATCAGTAATCAATCAGTAGAGAGATTGATCAGTAATCAATCAGTAGAGAGATTGATCAGTAATCAATCAGCAGAGAGATTGATCAGTAATCAATCAGCAGAGAGATTGATCAGTAATCAATCAGCAGAGATTGATCAGTAATCAATCAGCAGAGAGATTGATCAGTAATCAATCAGTAGAGAGATTGATCAGTAATCAATCAGCAGAGAGATTGATCAGTAATCAATCAGCAGAGAGATTGATCAGTAATCAATCAGTAGAGAGATTGATCAGTAATCAATCAGCAGAGCTGCTCTGCACTGTGTTGTTTCTTCAGGCAATAAAATTCATTTTCATTTAAATTGATGTTATTTTCATATTTTAATGCGTTTCTGTTGTTTATTATTTTAATGGTTTGATGAAAAAGTGATATTTTTTTTCATCCAATTAATCGTCAGAATAATCGATTATTGGAATCCAGTTGAAGCTGAGTGTGTGAAAATGTGGGCTTTTAATTTGAAAGGCTCTTCAGTCCCAGTCTTCCCAGTAACAGAACGGCTCCATATGCACCCGGCCGGGTTCTGGTTCTGGTTCTGCAGGCTGGACGAGTCCCTGTGGGTCAGTGTGGACCTGGAGGGCCTGACCCAAACGGGCCCGGCTCTGCGCTTGGTCCTGAGGACCGGGGTCCAGAGGCTGCGCTGCCCGCGAGCGTTTGTTGAGGAACCGGACCTCTCAGAACCCGGGTGAGTCCAGAACTTCCTCCTGGTTCTGCTCTGGCAGAAGGCGGTCCAGTAAGGCCCAGTTCATGGTTCTGCTCTGGGTTCTTAATGAACCCAAAGATAAATAATCAGATCTGAAAAGTGTGGCGTGCCTTTAAAGCCTGCCTCAGCTGGGTTCAGCTCTGGACTTTGACTAGGCCATTCTGCATGTTCAGCATTATGGGTTGGATGTAAAAGCAGGCCGCACCTTTCAGAGCTGTTCCAGTGGATGCTGAACGTTTCTGTGGCTGCAGTTGTGCTTCTGGTGACTCCTGGTTCTGGTTCTGCAGGCGGCTCCAGCTGGTGGATCTGGACCTGTCCGGTTCCGTGTTTTCTCCCTCGGCGCTGCGCAGCGTCGTCTGCCGCTGCAGCCGGCTGCGCCGCCTCAGCCTGGAGGCGCTGCCGCTGTCCGACGACGTCCTCAGGTAACCGGGCCGGAGCCGGGTCGTGGGCCGGGCCGGGTAGGTAGAACTGGTTCTGACGGTTCTGTCCGGTCCGCTCTGCAGCTGCCTGGCCCAGAACCCGGACCTGCTGCACCTCAACCTGAGCGGCTGCTCCGGTTTCTCCGCCGCCGCTCTGGCCGCCATGCTGGACTCCTGCCGCAGGTCAGAACCGGCTCCGTTCGGGCCGACCCGGACAGGTCCCGGTTCTGATCCGCTCTGTGTTCCGCTTCAGGTTGGAGCAGCTCAACATTTCCTGGTGCGTCTTCAGCAGGAACCACGTCCAGAACCTGGTGGAGAACCTGAGCCCCTCCGTCACACACCTCAACCTGAGCGGCTACCGGGACAGCCTGGTGCTGGACGGTGAGGAGCCGGAACCGGGTCAGAACCGGGTCAGAACACTGGGCCGGAACCGGCTCAGAACTTCAGCTCTGGCCTGGCTTTAACTAGAGCTGGTCTGACGGTTTACCTGCTTTGTGATTCAGTTCTTCACCAGATCATCTCAGTCTGATGAACAGTTCTATTTTGGGTGAACAGTTCTATTTTGGGTGAACAGTTCTATTTTGAGTGAACAGTTCTTCTGTCCCACTGAATCAGTTCCCCTGTTTGTTCCAGATGTGAAGGTTCTGGTGGACCGATGTCCGGACCTGCAGACGTTGGATCTCAGGTGAGAGCGGTGGGCGTGGCTTCCTGCTGCTGCTCTGTGTGGCTGGTTCTGGTTCTGGTTCTGACGGACTCTCTGGTTGCAGCGACAGCACGCTGCTGACGGCCGACAGCTTCCTGGTTCTGAAGCGGCTGAAGAAGCTGCTCCACCTGTCGCTGAGCCGCTGCTACCACATCCACCTGGCGGCGCTGTGGTGAGTCGCTGCGGCCTAGTCAAAGTGCAGCCCTTCTTCCTGCCTCTGACTTGGTGGGGATGGATTTAAAGACAGGCCACACTTTTCAGATCTAACTGGAATAATCAGTAAAAGCTTCTGTTCTGACCCGGTTGGTGAGTTTGGACCGGAACCAGAAGCGGCTTCCAAAGGTTCTGGACGTCGTAGAATAGTTTAATGCTCAGCCGGTGTTCTGGTTCTGACCCGGTTCTGGTTCTGTCCGCAGTGACCTCGGGAAGGAGATCCCGTCTCTGCGGTTCCTGGACGTGTTCGGTCTGGTCCAGGACGGCCAGCTGGCGGCGCTGCAGGACGACTCGCCGCGTCTCGCCATCAACGCCCGGCCGTTCTCCGCCGTGGCCCGGCCCACTCCGGCCGGCGCCGCCCAGCCCGACCGCACCATGTGGGGCCGCGGCTGCAGACTGAAGGTCCGGTTCTGACCGGACCTGAGGGTTTCTGGTTGTGTTCGGTGTTCCTGGTACCGGGTCAGATGGTGGACCCGGCCGCTGTTGGACTCTGCCGGTTCTGATGATGTGAAAGTTCTGGGCTCTCTGCTGTAATAATGACTCAACGCTGGAATCACTGAACAGTTTTAATGGAAGAGGAAGTTCTGGTTCCGACGGGTCCAAAAGCGATCCGTTCGGTTCCGACCCAGTTTTATATTTGAAAATGTTGACTGATTTTATCTGAATCGTGTTTGTATTAAACCCTGGAAGCTGTTTGGGCCTGAGTGTGACGTCATTTCCTGGTCTGAGTGTGACGTCATTTCCAGGTGGGGAACCGGAGGAGGTCCAAAATTTATCAAATAATCTGGATTATTTAGACAGAAGGAAAAATGAGTCTGTTGTATAATTTATGATTTCAAACTAAATATTTAACTTCAAACATTTGGTTCACTAATATTCAGAATATTATCAGTAAAATGATTTACTTCAAACTGAATATTGAAGTAAATCATTTTATCTGGATTTGGAACTGAAACATGAAGTTTCATAAATACACGTCAGGTTTCCAACATTTAGCCTCCAAACTATTGAAGCTAAATGTAAATATTAATATGAAGTTAAATTATTTGTTCAATATTAATATTCTGCCAGCTCAACATTAATCTTGTATCTGAATATTTACCTAAACATTAAACTGCTTTAATTTGGAGCTTCATTATGAAAATATGACCATATAAAATGAACCTCTATCTCATAAGCACCCGGGTGGTCCAGAATCCAGGTCCGGGTGGTCCAGAATCCAGGTCCGGGGTGCCGGTGGTCCGGGTCTGGGTTTCCGGGTCCGGGGTGCCGGTGGTCCAGGTTTCTGGGTGGTCCGGGTTTCCACCAGAATCAGAGGAATAAAGCGCCACACCCCGGGTTGGATCGGCCATATTGGTTTATTAGAAAAGTCACTTCCAGTGAGGCGGACATGTCGAACCGGACCGGTTCCGTTCAGGTCACATCAGAAAGCCAGTTACTCTAGAAAAGCTGATGCGACTGAACGTCTTGGCGTTCTGGACCGGCAGATTCGTTCCAATCTGAGATTTACTTCAGGGTCAAATCGGATCAGTAACAAATGAGTTCAGAACCAGACTCCAGATTTATTTTTTTTTTATTTAAAACAGACAAAAAAGGATTTCATGTGTTTGTGGGAGAAGCGGGTCGAGCCGGAACCGACCGAACTGGCTTTCTGAGCGGAAACATGTATAGACTGAGGAACGAGCTGGTGCTGCTTCATGGAGAGCCTCCACCACCCCATACAATATACATTTATATATATAGAAAAGTGGCTAAAGATGCTAGGATGAGACGTTCTCACGGCACCATGGCTTATTAGCAGAAACACAACAGAACCGCCATCTGGACCAACTAACGGACGCGTCTTTAATCTACAGGAAATGACGTGCAGAATGCTACAAAGTTATCCTTGTTTTCATCTGGTGCGTCTGGAGACCGATGCCGGGCCGGGCCTGGAGCCGGGCCTGGAGCCGGGGGCCTGGGGCCGGGCCTGGAGCCGGGCCGGGGGCCGGGCCTGGGGCCGGGCCTGGAGCCGGGCCTGGGGCCGGGCCGGGGGCCGGGCCTGGGGCCGGGCCGGGGGCCGGGCCTGGGGCCGGGCCTGGAGCTGGGCCTGGAGCCGGGCCGGGGGCCGGGCCGGGCCGGGGGCCGGGCCTGGGGCCGGGCCTGGAGCCGGGCCGGGGCCGGGCCGGCGCCGACGGGTCGACGACACACAGGAGGAAAATATTAGAAACAGAAAAAATATTTTACAAATCCCCCTCCCCCCTTCCTCCCCCAGACGGGTCACAGCGGGAGGACGGCGCCGAGACGCTTCAGTCGTCCTCACCGTCGTCCTGAAGGGACAGAAGGACAGAGACACGAGGTTAGGGTCCAGCAGAACCGGGTCAGAGCAGAACCGGGTCAGAGCAGAACCGGGTCAGAGCAGAACCGGGTCCAGCAGAACCGGGTCCAGCAGAACCGGGTCAGAGCAGAACCGGGTCCAGCAGAACCGGGTCCAGCAGAACCGGGTCAGAGCAGAACCGGACCATAGTGGCCGGTCGCTTCACAAGACCAGGCTTCGGTTCTTCAGTTCTGGTTCTGACCCGGTTCTGGAAACAGCTTTAAACCAGACTCCAGTTTAAAGCTGGTTGCCATACCAACCACAGATCGGTCTCCATAGCAACGGCGTGGTGCTTGCTGTGGAGGGCCGTAACCATGACGACCAGCTCTCACCTCTCCGTCTTCCCCTTCTCCATCTTCGTCTTCGCCTTCCTCTTCCTCGCCCTCGTCGATGTCCTCCAGACCTTCCTCGTCCTCCTCTTCATCGTCCTCACCCTCCTCATCCTCCATGTCAGGGACCTGGAAGAGGCAGACGGTCAGCAGTATGACTGCTTACCCAGCTTACAGCGCCCCCTGCACCTACCAGGTAGTACTGCAGCGGGTTGGGCCAGATGTCGTCCTTGATGACCTCTCCCAGCTCGTCGGCGCCGGCGTCTGAGTGGTCGGTGAACCAGGTGAAGAAGCTCTCCGGCTCCTCGTGCTGACGCTTCTTCCCAGCTTTGTTCGGCGTCTGGCCGCTCCGTTTGGTCAGGTCCTGCACAACCCAGAGGTCAAAGGTCAATGCTACATGTTAGTGATGATTGTCACCCCAAGCACAACAGACCTGCCCTTCAAAAAGCCCCAATAGCCCCAGATTGAGCCAATCCTGATGGATTAGCCATCAGAATAGCCTCTTTCTAAGACGGGGAGGGGGGAGGCTGTACAGATAACCAGTATAACCAGTATAACCAGTATAACCTGTGTAACCGGTATAACCAGTGTAACCTGTATAACCAGTATAACCAGTATAACCAGTGTAACCAGTGTAACCAGTATAACTAGTATAACCAGTATAACCAGTATAACCTGTGTAACCAGTATAACCAGTATAACCAGTATAACCAGTGTAACCAGTGTAACCAGTATAACCAGTATAACCTGTGTAACCTGTATAACCAGTATAACCAGTATAACCAGTGTAACCAGTGTAACCAGTATAACTAGTATAACCTGTGTAACCAGTATAACCAGTGTAACCTGTGTAACCAGTGTAACCAGTATAACCAGTATAACCAGTATAACCTGTGTAACCAGTATAACCAGTATAACCAGTATAACCAGTGTAACCAGTGTAACCAGTATAACCAGTATAACCAGTGTAACCTGTGTAACCTGTGTAACCAGTATAACCAGTGTAACCTGTATAACCTGTATAACCAGTGTAACCAGTATAACCAGTGTAACCTGTATAACCAGTATAACCAGTATAACCTGTGTAACCAGTATAACCAGTGTAACCAGTGTAACCAGTATAACCAGTATAACCAGTATAACCTGTGTAACCAGTATAACCAGTATAACCAGTATAACCTGTGTAACCAGTATAACCAGTATAACCTGTGTAACCAGTATAACCAGTATAACCAGTATAACCTGTGTAACCAGTATAACCAGTATAACCAGTATAACCAGTGTAACCAGTATAACCAGTGTAACCAGTGTAACCAGTATAACCAGTGTAACCTGTGTAACCAGTGTAACCAGTATAACCTGTGTAACCTGTATAACCAGTATAACCAGTATAACCAGTGTAACCAGTATAACCAGTGTAACCAGTATAACCTGTGTAACCAGTATAACCAGTGTAACCTGTGTAACCTGTGTAACCAGTATAACCTGTGTAACCGGTATAACCAGTGTAACCTGTATAACCAGTATAACCAGTATAACCAGTGTAACCAGTATAACCAGTGTAACCAGTATAACCTGTGTAACCAGTATAACCTGTGTAACCAGTGTAACCTGTATAACCAGTATAACCAGTGTAACCAGTATAACCAGTATAACCAGTATAACCTGTGTAACCTGTATAACCAGTATAACCAGTATAACCAGTGTAACCAGTATAACCAGTATAACCTGTGTAACCTGTGTAACCTGTATAACCAGTATAACCAGTATAACCAGTGTAACCTGTGTAACCAGTATAACCAGTATAACCAGTATAACCAGTGTAACCAGTGTAACCAGTGTAACCTGTGTAACCAGTATAACCAGTGTAACCAGTGTAACCAGTGTAACCTGTATAACCAGTATAACCAGTATAACCAGTGTAACCAGTGTAACCAGTATGACCAGTATGACCAGTATGACCAGTGTCGGGTTCAAAAGAAAACCCGGAACAGGATTTGTTAACTTTTCCCTCAAGAAAAATTTAAACACTAAGAATTTTCAAGGTGAATTTTTGAAACTTTGATGAAACAAAACAAATGAACTAAAAAAATGGATTTCTTAGTTACATAATGGTTAAGCTAACTGACCTTCCTGCTCAAAACATAGAGTTGAAACTACATGTTTACATAAAACTCATAAAGACATTTATTTCTATTTCTTTGGCCGGAGCAAACGCACCTTTCCAGTTTTCCATTTGATCTCGGTGGATTTGGAAACCGGATCTCCGCCCTCGTTCACGTTAAACTCTTTGGACAGAATTTGTTCTCAAAGTACGGATTCTCGTCGAAGGACTGCAGGGACACAGGGAGAACAGGTGGATCAGAAATCATCATCAGCTCCAGAACAAACCAACAGAACCAACCTGAGACTCACAAAATCTATTCTGTATCCAGACTTGATGTCCTCGAACTCTGTGACCTCCACCTTGGACAGATAATGAAGAGCTTCTTCATCTTCCTCCCCCAGAAGAGCCGAAACTACAAGCAGCAGACAGACGGGAGTTTTTATCTGTTGCTACAGGAGGAACCGGAACCGGAACCAGAACCGGAACCAGAACCAGAAGTTTACCTTGTGGATGGTTGACGAACGTTGTGACCCAGAAGTTTGGGATTTTGGCGATGAGCTCTGATCTCTTCTGAAAGAACGGCTGGCGTAATTTGTTGTACTTCTGCTCTACTTTTAAAATTTCTTCACTGGCCTGTTCGTTTAATCTGGAAAACAATCAGCGTGTCAGAAGAGTCAACGGTTTCCAGCGCGACGCGGCGGTTCCAACTCACCTGTCGATTTCGTTCTGTACTTCATCAATGTGTTCGATCGCCTCCTGCTGCTCTTTCTCTGAACACAAAGCATCAAGATGCAGGACATGAAATCCCAGTAAAATACGAGAAATTAATTGCAGATCCAAATGTTTAAAACAAAACATTTTGGAAATGTAATAAACATCCTCAGCCTGTTATACTGTCAAA